AGATACACAAGCTAATTATATTTCTAAATACCAGCAACACACAAGAAAATGTAATTTTTAAAAAGCATCACTTACGATGGCATTAAAAATACGTAAGATATTTAGAAAGAAGTCTAACAAAAGTTGAGTAGGACCAGTTTGGAAACAATTAGCAAACCTTACTGAGAGTCATTAAAGAACGCTTAAGTGAGTGAAGGGATATACTATGTGGATTCAGCATAGTAGTTAGTTCTACCCAGATTGATCTATGGATACAGTGCAACTCCACCAAAATCCCATCAGGATTTTTTTGAGAAAGCTGACAAATCACTTTTCTTAAACATATGTGGGAACTCAAAGGCTCAAGAACAGAGAAGATAGAAGCCAGGCATGGTGGCTCACGCCTGTAAACCTAGCACTTTGGGAGGTTGAGGCTGGCAGATCTCCTGAGCTCAGGAGTTCTAGACCAGCCTGAGAAACATGGCAAAACCCCATTTCTTCAAAAAAACCCCAAAATTAGCTGGGCCTGGTGGTGAGCACCTGTAGTCCCAGCTACTTGAGAGGCTGAGGTGGGAAGATCTCTTTTTTTTTTTTTTTTTTTTTTTTTTTGACGGAGTTTCACTCTTGTTACCCAGGCTGGAGTGCAATGGCGCGATCTTGGCTCACTGCAACTTCCACCTCCTGGGTTCAGGCAATTCTCCTGCCTCAGCATCCTGAGTAGCTGGGATTGCAGGCACACACCACCATGACCAGCTGATTTTTTGTATTTTTAGTAGAGACGGGGTTTCACCCAGGATGGTCTCGATCTCTTGACCTCCTGATCCACCCGCCTCGGCCTCCCAAAGTGCTGGGATTACTGAATAGATGGGATTGGTAGCCAAGGCCAGCTCACAAGGGGTCTTGTGTTGCATGTTAAACACTCAGGACTCAACTTTGTAATCAGTGGAGAGCCACTGGAAAGCTTGTAAACATGAACGTTACATCATTAGATGTTTGTGTTAGAAATATCAGATAGCCAGGAATGTGTAGGGTACATGAGGCAACAATTAACCTGATATTCTTCCATCAATATGAGTTTCTACAGGGCAAACATCCATTTCCAGTAGGAAATGTCTGTCGATGTGGAAACACCAGTATCAGAAGAACACACTGCTTTTCTTGGGTGTAGCGTATGAATAGTACCAACTTCACTGATTAATAAACTCAGTTGGGAGTGGTATTAGTCATAGCAGTCTTTGCAGAGGTGATGGCTGAGCTCCACTTGGAACAAGGAAAGAGCACTCCAAATAAAGTAATAGTGATAGAGACAGGAAGCATGGATGCTTTTTGGAAAATGATGCTTAATTTAATATGGCAGAACTCACAGTGCATGAAAGTGAAGGGTATAAAATCTCACATTGGAAGGAAACTTTAAAGGTCATCTTGTGCCACTTTCTAATCATTCCTCTAAAGCCCTGGCTTGAACTCCTTGTGTGATAGGGGCTGGGCACTGACTATTTCCTGGCAGTCTATTTCAGAAGTTTCTGGAAGGCAGTAATTTTTTACCTTAAGCCAAATCTGTATTCTTAGTACGGCTCGACTTTTAACTTAGAACTATATAAGGCAACACATACCTTTTCCATACACAAAAGTATCAGTAATTTAAAAATAGCTATTAAGCACGTTTTGATTGGTTTCTCAGAGGATGTGGTCTACCACTCTTAACTTTTTTCTTTTTTTTTTTTTTGAGACGACTTTTCATTCTTGTTGCCCAGGCTGGTGTGCAATGGCACGATCTCAGCTCACCACAACCTCCGTCTCCAGGGTTCAAGTGATTCTCCTGCCTCAGCCTCCCCAGTAGCTGGAAATACAGGCACGTGCTGCCATGCCCAGCTAATTTTGTATTTTTTAGTAGAGACGGGGTTTCTCGATGTTGGTCAGGCTGGTCTTGAATTCCTGACCTCAGGTGATCTGCCTGCCTTGGCCTCGCAAAGTGCTGGGATTTACAGGCGTGAGCCACCATGTCTGGGCCACTCTACCCTTTTTCTCCTGAAGATTTTTCTAGTGTGTCCATATTCCTTTTAAAATGTGGTGCCTGATACAGAATACAAGATGCATGCAAACTCAAGATTATTCATCTAGATACTGTACTTCTGTTGCTTAAGACAGGACCGTACTGCACCTTGAAAGTCAGGGCAAGAAGTCTGAATTTTGTTCTTTCAGGCGTAGAGAAGCAATGGAAGGTTTTGAGCAGATAAACACTTTGGGAACCGGGGCCATATCTTACTGTGTATCCCACTGATTCTAACTGAAATGTAAGCTGTAGGTGTCTGTCCCATTCATAGCATGGCTTCAGTGCCTCGGGAGGGCTGGGATATTTTAGGTATTTAATATGCCTACATGAATGAATTAATATGAATCTATATCAGTGTATGGCACATAGTGCATACATCAATTCATACTCGTTGAATTCAGGCAGGTAAATGATCAAAGCCACACTTCAAGAAGGTAACTAGCAAGAATGTGTAAAAAGTATTGGACATAGGCTGGGCGTGGTGGCTCGTGGCTGTAATCCCAGCACTTTGGGAGGCCGAGTAGGGTGGATCAGAAGGTCAGGAGTTCAAGACCAGCCTGGCCAACACGGTGAAACCCTGTCTCTACTAAAAATACAAAAAAATTAGATGGGCGTGGTGACGGGCACCTGTAATCCCGCTACTCAGGAGGCTGAGGCAGAGAATTGCTTGAACCTGGGAGGCAGTGGTTGCAGTGAACAGAGATCGTGCCACTGCACTCTAGCCCGGGCGGCAGAGCAAGACTCTGTCTCAAAAAAGAAAGAAAAAAAGAAAGAAAAGTATTGGAGATAACACACACTATAGGGTGAAAACAAGAGGAGTTTTAGCAGTCTCAACAAGGGGAAACAAGGGCTAGGATAACACAGTGAATAACAGAAAGGAAAGAATGGATGTGAGATTGTGAGGGAGAAATTGCGACGACTTAGAAATTAAATGGACATGTAGTGGGAAGAAGAAGTGATAAAGAAAACTCTTGGGCTTGAATTTGGAAAGCTGAAAGAAAAATGTTGCCATTCATAGAATTATTTATTTTGGGGGTGGCAGATATTTTAAGGTACTAGGATAAGATCAGTCTGGGGTAGGTTGAATTTGAATGCACTGACACAATATGCTCAGGAGGCTAAAATGTGGGACTGCAATTCAGAAATAGAGTGAGATCGGCCAGGCACCGTGGCTTACTCTTGTAATCCCAGCACTTTGAGAGGCTGAGGTGGGTGGATTGCTAGAGCCCAGGAATTTGAGACCAGTCTGGGCAACATAGCAAGATCGAGTCTCTACAAAAAAAACGGAAACAAAAACAAATTAGCCCGGTGTGGTGGCACACATCTGTAGTCCCTGCTACTCAGGAGGTTGATGTGGGAGGATTAATTGATCTCAGGAGGTTGAGGCTGCAGTGAGCCGTGATCGCAAAACTGCACTCTAACCTGGGTGACAAAGCAAGCCCCTGTCTAAAAAAATAATAAAAATAAATTAAAATACATTCTTATTAGAAAGAAAGATGCAGATGTTTTGTTTCTAAGTATGCCTTGTATATTTTTTACTCATTTTCATATGCAGTGATCCAGATTTTGTATGGCCTAATGTTTATACAACCTGGGGGTTTCTCTTTAAGGAAAGAATGAAAGATTTAAAATACAAAATTAGGGCCGGGTGCAATGACTCACTCCTGTAATCCAGCACTTTGAGAGGCTGAGATGGGGGGATCAACTGCGGTCAGGAGTTCAAGACCAGCCTGGCCAATATGGTGAAACCCTGTCTCTATTTAAAAATATAAAAATTAGCCAAGCATGGTGGTGTATGCCTGTAGTCCCAGCTACTCAGGAGGCTGAGGCAGGAGAATCGCTTAAACCTGGGAGGCAGAGGTTGCAGCGAGCCAAGATCATGCCACTGCACTTCAGCCTAGGTGACAGAGTAAGACTCTGTTTCAAAAAAAAAAAAAAAGGTAAAACGTTTTCAAAATGGGGGGAAAAGGTCACAACAAGCTTACTTCTTAGGCAAAATAGCTTTTCTTGCGAAATACACTTTCAAAAATGGTAGAACTAAAATCTGTTTTCCAAAGAGAATACCTGTCCTAGAATTTTTTTTAAAGTGCTTTTAAGGTTCTTGTTTTGTCTGAGATGAGTAGCAGCACTTTCGGGATTAAAGTAGGAGAAAGGAAGTGTGGTGTGAAGCTATTGGTTTATGTTAAATTTGGACCTGCTAGAGTGAGAATCAGAATAATGGCATTTACAAATCCTTGGCAACACCAGTTCCGCTTTCAGTTTCAGAAAGATTTTCTTTCTATGTGTTTCTTTTCCAGATCACTGTATTCTTCCCACCTGCAATGCCCTGTCATTCTTGAAGAAGACCAAAATATTAAAAAGACCCAGTTTTTCTCTTCTGGCCGTAAGTTTAGTGCAAAGAGAGAGATGATGGTGAAGAAACACAATAATGAAGGTGTTTTTTACTATAATCCTTAAAATCAAAGACACTTTCTGGCTAACAGGACCAATCAGAAGTCCCCCCCACACAACTTTTCTCAAAAAGAGACTCTGCTCAAGACATCCTTTCTCAGATGAAAGTTTAGCTTTTCCTAAAAAGCTCTAATGAAGGCTATGTGCTGTGGCTCACCCCTGTAATCCCAGCACTTTGGGAGGCCAAGGTGGGCGGATCACCTGAGGTCAGGAGTTCAAGACCAGCCTGACCAGTATGGAGAAATTCCATCTCTATAAAAAGAAAAAAAAAAAGCTCTAATGAAAAAGGTCTCAGACTGAGACAGAAAGGTTGCTTGAGCCCAGGAGTTTGAGCTCAGTCTGGGCAACATAGCGAGATCCTGCCTCTAATAATAATAATAATAAAGCTCTTTACTCCCTTCAGTCATTTCCCCATGATTTCCTAAGTTCATAGGAAGGTGCTCTTAAACTCAGAAGAATTGTTGGAATTTCTCCCAGTGCAGAATCCACCAGGAAGGCAATGTGGGTAGTCACTTACCTTTTGAGAGTGGACATCCAAGGCTAGATTCGCCTGATGCCAGGGCAGTCTCCTCCTACTCCAGTACATCTCTTGGCAGCCTCTGTTTTTATCAGCCTCTTCTGACAAAAGGAGGGTGGTTGGTAGCTCTCTCCCTTCCCCACTCCCATGCTGAACTCTGAAGCTTCATGAATAGTTCAACTGAAACAGGATCAAGTTTCAGACACTCCCATACTGCGAAAATGATCCCACTAGATTAAATTGGAGCCTAGATCAGTGGAGGAATATTTCCACATCTCTGCCAGGGCTGGGGCAGCCACCATTAAAAGCTCAGGTAAAATCTTCTAAGTAGGACCACATGAGTGGTAGAGGATGGATCAGTAGCCAGCTTTTTGGTCTATGCAAATTCTTGGACCCTGATCCTGGTCCTAATGAATAAGAAATGTTGGGGGTGTTAGCCTCTGTGGGTGTGTATGTATGTGTTTAAGAGATGGGGTCTCACAATGCTGCCCAGGCTGGAGTGCAGTGGCTATTCATAGGTGAATCACAGTGCACTACAGTCTCAAATTCCTGGGCTCAAGTGATCCTCCTGCCTCAGCCTCCCTAATAGCTGGGACTATAGGCATGCACCACTACTGCCTGTGGCATCTGTGTTTTAACCAGCTTCTCTAGGTGATTGTGATATATGCTTAAGTTTGAGAATTAGTTGTCAACAGGATCAGTGATGCTTTAAGCTTTCAAATGTTTTCCCGCTTTCCTCAGAATAATTTACTTGATGCATTTGATTTAAAAAGTTAAAACCCGGCTGGATATGGTGGCTCACCCCTGTAATCCTAGCACTTCTGGAGGCTGAAGTGGGTGGATCACTCAAGGTTAGGAGTTCAAGACTAGCCTGGCCAATGTGGCAAAACCCCGTCTCTACTAAAAATACAAAAATTAGTCAGGTGTGGTGCCAGGCACCGTGGCTCATACCTGTAATCCCAGCACTTTGGGAGGTCGAGGCGGGCAGATCACAAGGTCAGGAGTTTGATACTAGCCTGGCCAACATGATGAAATCCCGTCTTTACTAAAAATACAAAAATTAGCCAAGCATAGTGGCATGCACCTGTAATCCCAGCTACTAGGGAGGCTGAGGCAGGAGAATCGCTGGAACCCAGGAGGCGGAGGTTGCAGTGAGCTGAGATTGTGCCATTACATTCCAGCCTGGGCGACAGAATGAGACTCCATCTCAAAAATGTAAAAATAGAAATAAAAATAAAATAAATAAAGTAACTCTTATGAAAGATATGCTATACATAATAAATATTTACTGAATGCCTACTATGTGTCAATCATTGTGCTAGGTGCTGGGAACAGAATGGAGAATGAAGTTTATTCCTGACCCTCAAACCCTTTTTCTCTAAATAACAACAAATATAGTAATTAAAAAACATTTTCAGTTTCCAAGTTCTTCTTGCATTTGACCATACCATCTCAAATTGTGTGGAAAAGTTCAGACAAAGCAAAGGTAATATCTATCCCTTTCCAGGGTAGGGAAAACAAAAACTAGGCTTTGTAGGTCGTTATAATAGCTACTATTTATTTAGCAATGGACTTTAAAACAAAATTGTTATATCTTTTTGCTTTTTGTACTTATAAATGTAATATAATGTCATATCACATTCCAACATTATAGAATAATATAAAAAGATAGAAATCTCCCATTAATTTTACCCTCTAGAGATACATTATTAACAGTTTGGCAGATTTCTCCAGCTTTAATTTCTATATTTGTTATAACTATTATTATTATTGTTATTTTTTGTGATCGAGTCTCGCTCTGTTTCCCAGGACGGAGTGCAATCGCATGATTTCAGCTCACTGCAACCTGCACCTCCCGGGTTCAGACGATTCTCTTGCCTTAGCCTCCGGAGTAGCTGGGACTACAGGTGTGCACCACCACGCACAGCTAATTTTTGTATTTTTATTTTAATTTATTTTATTTTAACTGAGTTTTGCTCTTTTTGCCCAGGCTGGAGTGCAATGGTGCGATCTCAGCTCACTGCAACCTCCACCTCTCAAGTTCAAGCGATTCTCCTGCCTCAGCCTTCTAAGTAGCTGGAATTACAGACACCTACCACCACATCTGGCTAATTTTGGTAATTTTTGGTAGAGATGGGGTTTCTCCATGTTGTCCAGGCTGGTCTCGAACTCCTAACCTCAGGTGATCTTCCCACCTCGGCCTCCCAAATTGCTGGAATTACAGGCATAAGCCACTGCACCTGGCCTAATTTTTGTATTTTTAGTAGAGATAGGGTTTTACCATGTTGGCCAGGATGGTCTCAATCTCTTGACCTCATGATCTGCCCACCTTGGCCTCCCAAAGTGCTGGGGTTACAGGTGGGAGCCACCACACCTGGCCTATAACTATTATTTTTAAAAAAATCTTATATTTTGTTTACTTAACAGTGTATCTTGGACATCTTTCCATTTTTATATGTAAAAATCATCTTTGGCTGGGTGTGGTGGCTTGCTCCTGTAATCCCAGAACTTTGGGAGGCTAAGGTGTGTGGATCACCTGAGGTCAGGAGTTTAAGACCAGTTTGACCAAAATGGCAAAACCCGTCTCTACTGAAAATACAAGAATTAGCTGGGGATTGTGGCACATGCCTGTAATCCCAGCTACTCAGGAGGCTGAGGCAGGAGAATCGCTTGAACACAGGAGGCAGAGGTTGCAGTGAGCCAAGATCACACCACCGCACTCCAGCCTGGGTGATAGAAACAGACTCCGTCTCAAAAAAAAAAAAAAGAAAAATCTGCTTTATTCTTTTTAATGGCTGCTGAGTACTCAAGCACTCCATTTTCTCTGTTGGTCGACTTTCACATTGTTTCAAATTTCTTATTATAGCAACACTGCAGTAAATATCCGTGTGTGTGTGTGTGTGTGTGTGTGTGTGTGTGTGTGTTTTTTTTTTTTTTTTTTGAGATGGAGTCTCACTCTGTAACCCAGGCTGGAGTGACAGCCTGTATATCTATTTCTCTGGGCCCTTGTGGAAATGTTTCTGTGGAATAAATTCTTCCAAATATTAAAAATGTAAATGCTAGGTTGTAGGATATTCACATTTGGAATTTTAATAGATATTACCAAATTACACACTAAAAAGGTTATGGTAATTTATACTCCCATGAAAGAGGCATGAAAATGCCTTTTCTTTTTTTTCACAGCTTCACCAATATAATTTACTCAGAGTCTCTGAAATATCTGTTGAGCTAATTGGCAAAAACAGTATCTTAGTTTTTAGGCAGGGCACAGTGGCTCACGCCTGTAATCCTAGCATTTTGGGAGGCTGAGGTGGGCGGATTACCTGCTGTCAGGAGTTCGAGACCAGCCTGACCAACATGGTGAAACCCCGCCTCTACTAAAGGTACAAAAAAATTAGCCAGACATGGTGGCATGTGCCTGTAATCCCAGCCACTCAGGAGGCTGAGGCAGGAGAATCGCTTGAACCCGGGAGGCGAAGGTTGCAGTGAGCCGAGATTGCACCACTGCACTCCAGCCTGGGTAACAGAACAAGAAAATGAGACTCTGTCTCAAAACAAAACAAAACAAAACACCACAATATCTTAGTTTTTAAAACATTGCATTTCTCTAATTACTATAGTATTTGAATCTCTATTGATTGTACATATTTTGCGGATACATACAAATCTATTTTCACCTTATCTATCCTTTTCCCTTTTGACTGAGCTATTAGTCTTTTACTTATTGATTTGAAGATGTATATCTATCTACAAACATAAGTATATACCCACAGATACATTTTTACACATATTTTGTTTTTTTGAGATGGAGTCTCATTCTGTTGCCCAGGCTGGAGTGCAGTGGCACCATCTTGGCTCACTGAAACCTCTGCCTCCCAGGTTCAAGTGATTCTCTTGCCTCAGCCTCTGGAGTAGCTGGGACTACAGGCTCATGCCACCATGCCTGGCTAATTTTTTGTATTTTAGTATAGACAGGGTCTCATCGTGTTGCCCAGGCTGGTCTCGAACTCCTGAGCTCAGGCAATCCGCCCGCCTCCACCTCCCAAAGTGCTAGGATTACATGCATGAGCCACCGTGCCTGGCCTACCCGTTGTATTTATTGATAACTTTTCGTGGTAGAGTCAAGGGTGGGAGAAGAGCGGAGCATGTGAGCAGCACAGCGGCCTTCTCTCCTCTCCTCACCTCGCTCTGGTGGCCTACCTTTACCTGTCCACCTGCTCAGTGCCCAGAACACCTTCCACCATGACCACCTCAGCAAGTTCCCACTTAAACAAAGGCATCAAGCAGGTGTACATGGCCCCCTGCCTCAGGATGAGAAAGTCCAGGTTATGTATTTCTGGAACAATGGTTCTGGGGAAGGACTGCACTGCAAGACCCGGACCCTGGACATGAGCCCAAGTGTGTGGAAGAGTGGCCTGAGTGGAATTCTGATACCTCTAGTACTTTACAGCCTGAAGGCTCCAACAGTGACATGTATCTCGTGCCTGCTGCCATGTTTCGGGACCCCTTCCGTAAGGACCCTAACAAGTTGGTGTTGTGTGTGAAGTTTTCAAGTACGATCGAAAGCCAGCAGAGACCAATTTGAGGCACACCTGTAAACGGATAATGGACATGGTGAGCAACCAGCACTCCTGGTTTGGCATGGAACAGGAATATGCCCTCATGGGAACAGACGGGCACTCCTTTGGTTGGCCTTCCAACCGCTTCCCAGGGCCCCAGCGTCCATATAACTGCGGTGTGGGAGCAGACAGAGCCTACGGCAGGAACATCGTGGAGGCCCATTACCGGGCCTGCTTGTATGCTGGAGTCAAGATACAAGCAGGGACGAATACCAAGGTCATGCCTGCCCAGTGGGAATTTCCAATTGGACCCTGTGAAGGAATCAGCATGGGAGATCATCTCTGGGTGGCCTGTTTCATCTTGCATCGTGTATGTGAAGACTCTGGAGTGATGGCAATCTTTGATCCTAAGCCCATTCCCGGAAACTGGAATGGTTCAGGCTGCCATACTGACTTTAGCACCAAGGCCATGTGGGAGGAGAATGGTCTGAAGTACATTGAGGAGGCCATCGAGAAACTAAGCAAGCAGCACCAGTACCACAGCCACACCTATGGTCCCAAGGGAGGCCTGGACAATGCCTGAAGCCTAACTAGATCCCATCAAACCTCCAACATCAGTGACTTTTCTGCTGGTGTAGCCAATCGTAGCACCAGCATACGCATTCCTCAGACTGTAGGGCAGGAGAAGAAGGGTCACTTTGAAGACTGTCGCCCCTCTGCCAACTGCATTCCCTTTTCTGAATTCAGAAGCCCTCATCTGAATGTGTCTTCTCAATGAAACCAGCAATGAGCCCTTCCAGTACAAAAACTAAGTGAACTGGACCTCCCGCTGTGAGCCCCTCCTGCTTCTTTATCCCACTCCAACTCTTCCCCCTCTACCGGTTGTCCCAATTGTAACTGGAAGGGTGGAATATCAAGGTTTTTTTTTTTTTTTTTTTTGTTTGTTTGTTTTTTAAATTCTTGTGCCCAGTTAATCTTGCTTTCTTTGTTTGGCTGGGATAGGGGGTCAAGTTATTAATTTCTTCACATCTACCCTCCTTTTTTTCCCTATCACTGAAGCTTTTTAGTGCATTAGTGGGGAAGAGGGAGGGGAAACATAACCACTGCTTCCATTTAGTGGGGTGCACCTCTCCAATAGGCATAGGTACCCGGACAGAGCATGTTTGCAGTAGGTGGACTTTTCTTTGAAGAAGCTGAAAGGGGAAGACCTGGGTTACTCTGGTTAGGTTAGGACTTGCCCTCATGGCAGAAACTTTTCTTTTTTTTTTGCTGAGATGGAGTTCCACTCTTGTCACCCAGGCTGTACTGCAATGGCGCGATCTCAGCTCACCGCAACCTCCACCTCCTGGGTACAAGCAGTTCTCCTGCCTCAGCCTCCCGAGTAGCTGGGACTACAGGTGAGCATCACCATGCCCAGCTAATTTTTGTATTTTTAGTAGAGACGGGGTTTCACCATGTTGACCAGGATGGCCTCCATCTCTTGACCTCGTGATCCACCCGCCTCGGCCTCCCAAAGTGCTGGGATTATAGGCGTGAGCCACCGCGCCCGGCCAGAGGAAACTTTTCTTAAGAGGTTATAACCAACTTTTCTATTAAAAGTGGGAATTAGGAGAGAAGGTAAGGGTTGGGAATCAGGGAGAATGGCCTTTGTCTCTTGCTTGTGGGACTAGCCTGGCATGGGACTAAATGCCCTGCTCTGAATACAAAGCTCAGTATCAGCTGATGGATATCCCTACCTTGAAAGAAGAAAAGGTTCTTATTGCTTGGTCCTTGATTTATCACAGAAAGCAAAATAGTATTTTTATATTTAAATGTAAAGACAAAAATTTATATATATATATATAGTTTTAATCTTATGTGTGTTTTGCTAAAGGAAAACACATCCAGGTCGCGGGGCACCAAATTTGAGACAAATAGTCTGGATTAGATGTCAAGTATCTCCTTCTGAGTAAGGAATGAGGGAAGTAGTTCTTAGAAGGATGGTGATCTGTGGTTAGGCCTTCGTAACACTTTAGGGTTTCTGCCCTGCCCACCCTCTGGAGAAGGTGGACACTGGTTAATTAACAGGTGACATGTTACTAGCAGTCACTTGATCTCCGTGGCTTTGGTTTAAAAGACAGACACTTGTCTACATGGGCTAAGAGATAAGAGTTGTCTGGTCAACTTGAGCATATTACTGACAGAGGGGGTATTGGGGTTATTTTCTGGTAGGAATAGCATGTTACTAAAGCAGGCCTTTTGATATTAAATTTTTTAAAAAGCAACATTTATATGTTTAGATTTTAATCAAATTTGTAGAGTTTCTAGGTAATTTTTACAGAGTTCCTTGTTTGCTTCAACTGTCTCCTATCTCTGCTCTTGGAGGAGATGGGGACAACACTAAACATTTGTAATTTTGTATCCTTATGTCTTTTCTCCCAGTGTGAAATATTCCGTTTACTTGTTAAGACTGCTAAGGAGGCCGGGCGCGGTGGCTCAAGCCTGTAATCCCAGCACTTTGGGAGGCCGAGACGGGTGGATCACGAGGTCAAGAGATCGAGACCATCCTGGTCAACATGGTGAAACCCCGTCTCTACTAAAAATACAAAAATTAGCTGGGCATGGTGGCGCGTGCCTGTAATCCCAGCTACTCAGGAGGCTGAGGCAGGAGAATTGCCTGAACCCGGGAGGCGGAGGTTGCGGTGAGCCGAGATCGCGCCATTGCACTCTAGCCTGGGTAACAAGAGCGAAACTCCGTCTCTAATAAAAAAAAAAAAAAAAAAAGACTGCTAAGGAATTATTTTTTTTTTTCTTTTATAATAAGAAACAAACCCTACCTTTATTCCTTCATTTTCCCTGCCATTTTCTGGTTCTTGTGTTGACTGTGGGAGGCCAGCTGTGGTTTTCTTTTGTCATGAGGACTTCTAATTGCCATGTTTAAAGTCAAATAACTCCTTATTATAAACAAACTGTGTAACTGCCCAGAGCAGCACTTATAAATCAGTCTAACATAAAAGAATAACTTTTTGTGGTATATGTAGTTCCCAGTGCTATCCTCTGCGACTCCAACTTTCTCACTTTGAATCTGCTATCAACGTCAGCTTCCAGAATGAAACCTCTATTCTCAGTCCAATAACTTCTGGCTTCATTTATTTCCCAGACCAGTCTCATCCTGTTCCAGAGACTTATAAACTAGGTTTCTTTTGCAATTTTTTTTTTTTTTTTTTTGAGACAGAGTCTTGCTCTGTCACCAGGCGCCAGGCGGGAGTGCAGTGGCGCGATCTCGGCTCACTGCAACCTCTGCCTCCCGGATTCAAGCAATTCTCCTGCCTCAGCCTCCCGAGTAACTGGGACTATAGGCACGCACCACTGTGCCCAGCTAATTTTTGTATTTTTTCAGTAGAGACAGGGTTTCACCACGTTGGCCAGGATGGTCTCGATCTCTTGACCTCGTGATTTGCCCACCTCGGCCTCCCAAAGTGCTGGGATTACAGGCGTGAGCCACCGCGCCCGGCCGGTTTCTTTTGCAATTCTAGAATCTTCCATCTTCAAGATATTGATCTGTCCATCAGCTCTCCAATTGTGGGTAAACTGTTCACTTTCTTTCCTCAGGTTTCTGAGTATTGACAGAAATAACAATGCTCCATAGTTTCATGAAAATTTATGCTTTCTAACTTTATCTAGGTCTGCAGAACATTTGGTGATTTTTTGTTGTTGTTGTTTCCTTTTTCTACTCCGGTGGCTGATTATTCACCGTCATTTGCTTCATACCTAGTTGACTTCCCAACCAATTGCCTACAGCTGTGCAGCTACATCCAACCCCATTTCTTTTCTTTTCTTTTTTTTTTTTTGAGACGGAGTTTCACTCATGTTACCCAGGCTGGAGTGCAATGGCGCGATCTCGGCTCACTGCAACCTCCGCCTCCTGGGTTCAGGCAATTCTCCTGCCTCAGCCTCCTGAGTAGCTGGGATTACAGGCACGCACCACTATGCCCAGCTAATTTTTTGTATTTTTAGTAGAGACAGGGTTTCACCATGTTGACCAGGATGGTCCCGATCTCTTGACCTCATGATCCACCCGCCTCAGCCTCCCAAAGTGCTGGGATTACAGGCTTGAGCCACCGCGCCCGGCCCATCCAACCCCATTTCTACCTTGTATTCCCAGCAGAAGTTTCATCTGTTACTTTTCTTTGAGAATCAAAGTCATCACACACAAGTTCCCTTTCCTCCACTTCAAAATGTCTACACGTTTTTCGAAAAAGGGTGCCTTGGTTTTCTGAGAACGCTTTCACATGCTGCCCTGACCCTATCTCCTTCTCTCCCCTAGGACCAGTCTTGTTTTCTCAGACATATATATTTCTTGCTTTTAAAAAATTTTTTATTTATTTTTATTTATTTTTTATTTTTTGAGACAGAGTCTTGCTGTGTCACTCAGGCTGGAATACAATGGCGTGATCTGGGCTCACTGCAACTTCCAACTCCCAGGCTCAAGCAATTCTCATGCCGCAGCCTCCCAAGTTAGTGGGATTACAGGCGTGTGACACCACACCTGGCTAGTTTTTGTATTTTTAGTAGAGACTGGGGTTTCGCCATGTTGGGGAGGCTGCTTTCCAATTCCTGACCTCAGGTGATTCACCCATCTTGGCCTCCCAAAGTGCTGGGATTACAGGCGTGAGCCACCGTGCCTGACCTTTTTTTGCATTCTTAATTTGCTCCTTTCCATAAGCTCAGTCTATAGACATATTTTACTAAGTTTTCACCTCTAGCCTAACCCATACTTCAGCTACCATTTAATTATTTTTCTCTCCACCACCATGTTTCTTGAAAAAGTAATCTGTGCTAACTAGCTGTGTCTACTTAAGTTTCTGCTCACTCCTCACCCAATTGCAATCTGGCTTCCATTCCTTACATGTGCTCATCCATCCTCCTCTTCCTTAACATCTCTGAATACATGATGCTGTTGCCCAAACGATTTTATCTTGAAGCTTCTTTGGCTTCCATTCCCCTATTCTTTCCAGATTGTCGCTTAATCGGAAACAGGCATTTCTTGAGGCATTCTTTGTGTACTTTTTCTCTTCTCTTTTAACTTTGGTCCTGTCATTCTTTGTTATCTCAAAGTCTCTTGCAGTTGATGCAGAAGTTCAGGGTTAGCTCCCACCACTTTTTCGGGCAGGTGCCCTGTGATTACATATGCTTAATAAGCATTTTTACCTGGCTAGTCCACCAACCAATCCTACAACCAAACTTCAGCTGAACAAATCTGGACTTGCACATTGCTCCTGTCTTTGTTCCTGATGTCCAAAAGACTTCTTTGACACCCCAGCTTCCTTTTATTCCATATTCAATTAAATAGCAGGCCCTGTCGATTATTCTATTACAACAGTATTTGCGACAATCGTCTTCTTTTCAGTTTCATTGACATTTGTCAAGTCCTTGGAATTTCTCCCCTGGATTAATTATATAGTAGCTACTTACCTAAGTGGATTTCCCAGTTCCAGTCTTTCCCTTCCCCACAATAACCTGGATCAGTGTTTCTTAAAATTTTAACCTCCAAGGCTGGGTGCAGTGGCTCACGCCTGTAATCCCAACACTTTGGGAGGAGGAGGCGGCGGATCACCTGAGGTCAGGAGTTTGAGACCAGCCTGGCCAACATGGTGAAACTCCGTCTCCACTAAAAATACAAAAATTAGCTGAGCGTGGTGGGGGGCATCTGTAAGCCCAGCCACTCAGGAGGCTGAGGCAGGAAAATCACTTGAACATGGGAGGCGGAGGTTGCAATGAGCCAAGATCACGTGATTGCACTCCAGTTTGGGCAACAAGAGCAAAACTCCATCTCAAAAAAAAAAGTATTTGTTGTTTATCCAGCATTCAAATCAAACTGGACTACCTTTATTTTTATTTTCTAGATCTGGCAACCATACCCAGAGATACTTAATAAAACTTTGGAGGC